GTGCTGTAATATGTAAAACGCTGGATCTTTCTGATCAGAAGACCCACGACTCCACGCCGCCTTGCACCGTGACAGCGTAGATCGGAATCGAATTGGAGGGAGTTAGGGGGAGTTAGGGAGAGTTAGGGGGAAGTTAGGGAGGTTTAGGGGCGAATTAGGGCGCATTGGAGGGGATTGGGGGAGGACTTTTCACGTGCCAGGGGCGAAAATCCTTTAGAATTTATCCGGATCGATGGATACCCCGGTTCCGTGTTCCCGTCCAAGCAGACCAAGCAAGCCAAGGCAGGGATGATGAACTGGGGGGAGGGGCGCAGGTATACGCTGGATTCGCTGGATACGCTGGATCAGACGGGTTCACACCTGCGGCCACATACCGTACTGGATCAACGGCTCAGGCTTTCTTTTCATCCGTGCTGTGAGGTTTTACTGGAGCCGGTTATGTAATTTGCTGCTGGATACGGCATGTGGCTGTGAAACGACTCTCTTCCTGGCGTCCTGGCGTCGTTTACTGGTGAGCAAATGGCGTGTAACAAACCCTACGGAAATGCTTGTGCACCACTATATTCGAAGAGTCTACTCCGGTCTGTGGTACGAGTAGTTGTACTGTACTGCACTGCACAAGCACAAGCACAAGCACGACCGGGTATCTGTACTCTATCCTCGAGTATATAAGCAACTCTATAGGTGCGCTCACTCCTGGAAGATGCTTAACCGGCGAAGGGATGCTATGCTTCTGCCTTGTGATTGTGATTGTGATAAGAGGAGAGACGAGAATGGGCGGATTCATGCGCTGATTGCTCTCCTATGCAAGTAACACATGCGTGTCTGACCTGACTGGCAAAAGCGGGTGGGAAAGACATACGGACGTAGCAGAAATTGATCCTGTGCGAGTTACTGACCAGATTGGGATCACTGGGAACACCATCGGGTATTCATGAAGAAACCCATCAGTAATCGAACCCCCATCTTTCGCTGGAGCCTATCATCCCATAGGTTCAGATGAAATGTCATCGCTCCTCAACAAACAGCCACATTCAGAATAGTGACGTTAACAGCTGGTTTACCCCTCTGCATATCTTGCGACCGACCGCCGGCACTTGGGATACTCCCCCGTGGGGAACAAGCACATGCTGCTGGGACTATGAACAGATTGGGAACAGTGCATTGTCACATTGTCACCCCGGAGGAGGAAAGCCCGGCCATACCGTCGGAACTATTCCCTGGGAATCGGAGCATGTACCGTAACTTAAAAGGGTGAAAGTATAACCAGGATCAAATCAACCAAAGCCCAAGCTCCTACACACACAGTCAGCTGATGTCGAGACCTGGATCAAACGTGACGACTCAATAATAAGGCTAGATCAAACGTGACGAGTCGACAATAAGGCTGGATCAAACGTGACCAGTCAAAAAAAGGAACCAAAAAGACCGATAGATGCATTAAAAGTGCTTGTATTTTGCGACACGGCAAAGGCTTGCTATGCTTGCCAATACAGCCATCGCTATATATATATATAAAAGATCCTCTAGTCGTCACAAGTTTGTATGGTCCCTCTGACGCCGCCCAAGCAATCTGTTGTCCAAGACAATGCTCGGCCAGCTCTTTATGGTACCGTCAATAGTTCGTCTCCGCACCGCGAAATCGCGATACTCATCAATTGATCCCACTGGAGACTAAAGGCATAACGCCCCGTCAAGCGTGTTAAATGTTGAGCTGCACTGTCTAAAAGGGCGCGTTGAAGAAAAGAAAAAGGAAGTTGAGGAGCCGGCCGGAATATTTTATAACCCATTTTTCGACAAGCTATGCGCTAGTCTCGGTTGGGGTTCGCGCCTGGGCGCCTGAGTGTCTCGCGCTAAGCCATAGCAAGGTGACCCTCGAAGCGCATTGTGGGGGGTTATTATCGCAGGACGACCGTTGAATGTGCATTTACTTATCCCGCGCCGACAAATGATATAATAAAGCTCTTTATTTATTATTAGGACTGGCCAGAAGGCCTCGAAATCATGGCATCAGCTGTGTTCTTCCTTGATCTCAAGGGCAAGGTGGGCGACCTCGGCGGCGACAAATATATCGTGGCCACAATTGCTGATGATGTGTATAGACCCTTTTAGCTCGCAACTACAGAGGAGACATCCCCATGTCTGCGGTGGAAAAGTTCCCTATCCTTCTGAGTGATGCCGAAGAAGAGAGCTCTGCAGTACCGCCCTGTTTCTCCGACGAAGGGATAAACGTATGTTGCAATCAATTCGTTTCGAGGAGGTCAAGGTAGCTGACACCGCCTTCTTTCTTCCAGTACCTCTATATCAGACACAACAACCTCTACCTCCTTGCCCTCACCAAACGAAACACAAATGCCGCCGAGATCCTCCTCTTCCTCCACAAGATCGTCGAGGTCTTCACCGAATACTTCAAGGAGCTCGAGGAAGAATCCATCCGGGACAACTTCGTCGTCATCTACGAGCTCCTCGACGAGATGATGGATTTCGGCTACCCGCAAACCACCGAGTCCAAGATCCTCCAAGAATACATCACACAAGAATCACACAAGCTAGAGGTCCAAGCACGCCCCCCAATCGCCGTCACCAACGCCGTCTCCTGGCGCTCCGAAGGCATCCGTTACAGGAAAAACGAAGTCTTCCTCGATGTCGTCGAGTCACTCAACCTCCTCGTCTCCTCTACCGGCAACGTCCTCCGCTCCGAGATCCTCGGCGCAGTCAAGATGAAATGCTACCTCTCCGGTATGCCCGAGCTGCGCCTCGGCCTCAACGACAAAGTCATGTTCGAGACCACCGGCCGCGCCACCCGCGGCAAGGCAATCGAGATGGAAGACGTGAAATTCCACCAGTGTGTGCGCCTCTCGCGCTTTGAGAACGACAGAACCATCTCCTTCATCCCTCCCGACGGAGAGTTCGAACTCATGTCCTACCGACTAAACACCCAAGTCAAGCCACTGATCTGGGTCGAGTGCGTAGTCGAGAACCACAGCGGCTCGCGCATCGAGTACCTCCTCAAAGCCAAATCGCAATTCAAGCGCCGCAGCACAGCCAACAACGTCGAGATCATCGTCCCCGTCCCCAACGACGCCGATAGTCCCCGCTTCAGGACGAATATCGGGAGCGTCCATTATGCGCCGGAGAAGAGCGCGATTGTCTGGAAGATCAAGCAGTTTGGTGGGAACAAGGAGTTTCTGATGCGTGCGGAGCTGGGGCTGCCGAGTGTGAAGGGCGATGATGATCAGGGGGGTGGGATGATGGGGGGGTTTGGGGGGAGTATGGGGGGGGTGGGGGGGAAGGGGGCGAAGAGACCTATTAGTGTTAAGTTTGAGATTCCGTACTTTACGACTAGTGGGATTCAGGTCAGGTATCTGAAGATTATCGAGCCGAAGGTATGTTGTATATTCCCCGTCTCACGGTGGTTTCTGATACTAATGTGCTATGTAGTTACAATACCCATCCCTCCCATGGGTGCGCTACATCACGCAGTCCGGCGACATCGCCGTACGGTTACCAGACGTGACCGGCGTCTGATAGCACCATTACCGCATCATCAGAAGCTGTTAGAGCACACCAAAAACCAACCGGCAGAGACATGGGATTAGTATACTTACTCATGAGGGGATGGATGAAAGGGGCTAGAGAGAGAGCGAGCGGGGTGGAGATATTTTCAGGCGCATGTATCAAAAGGAGTTATCATCATGTCATGCATTTGATAGCAGGCATGCAACCCCTCGTAGAAGGATTCGCGCGGATAGATAAATCAGCGATCGCTGAATGAAGGCTTGATGACCATATACGGATGCTTGAACTAAAAAAGGGGGGTGTGGTGCCGCGTGAATGAATGAGTTTGTTCGTCGATGCTAT